ATAGGGGGGGGGGGGGGGAAGCAACAGAACTCAACAGAAATCCCTTGGAGACATGCCAGTTCTTAACTACAGTGGAGAAAGAAAGAGAATTCAAAAAAGCAAGAAGCTAGGGCACGTGGGTGACTCAGCTCAAGGTTAAGTACTGCTAACAGGTCATGATCTCTACAGTTATGGGTTCCAGCCTCCCCATGAGTTTTGCTATAAATGTGACAGTCTGTGGGATCTCTCTTGTTCTCTCCTAAGGCAGCTAATCTTCTCTCTCAAAATAAATAGTTAAAAAAAAAAAAAGCAAAGCCAAAGAAAAGGACAAGAGAGAAAACAGAACTTGTAAATAGTGTAAAAAGGCGAAATCATACTGACAAGTCTGAAAAGAAATTTTGCTCCGGAATCTCCCAAGATGTGAAGAAGCAAGAAAAATCTTGATTAGATCAGATTAAATAGTATAAGTACATCCAGGATGATGTAAAATGGATCATAAATATGTTAAAGGACTGAAGAGTAAGACAAACAAAATGAGCAAAAATATGAAATCAGAGAGAGAGAGCTTTAAAATGAAACGAAGTTTCCATAATGCAAATGCCGCAGATTCGGCAACGCGTCATGATCAGCAAATAAGCCTAGCCTTCAGTTGAGCCAGAGACTGAACTAATCTGTGCTCCCTCCCTGGCCTCCCTCATGTAATATCTCAAAAAAAGATAAAAATTCAGGAATGCTCTGGAAGTAGGTCGGTTAAGCGTCCATTAGCCAGGCACGTGCCATGGTCCGTGATTCCCTTCAGGTTCCATGCGTGGCTCCTGCTGGGCCTGTTTTGAAGCTCTAGGACTCTCTCATTCGTCTGTCCCCTCCCCTGTTCATCCTGTTCCTCTCTGTCCCAAATAATCTGCTAAAAAAAAAAATTAAAAAACATATAAAAAAACATTAAAATTTTAATTCAAATAAAAATGTGAATTTTAGATGCTCACATTTCAGTAATCATTGAAATTAGACAAAAAATTAATGATTGTACGGCGCAAATCAACCAACTCACCTCACTGACATTTACAGAACACCTAACAGCATAATATACATTCTTCTACTTCTATTCAAAATGTGAATGGCACTTCCTTATTCGAAAACCATTACAGGAAAGTCCTAACACTGCATCTCAAATGAAAATAAAAGATATAAAGCCTATAAAGAAATAAAATCTGTATTTATAGATATGATTTTTTCCCATAGAAAACTTTGAAATAGGACATTAGCTGAATGTCATCCTAATTGCAAGACCACAAGAAACAAGGTAGTAGGTTTTATTTATAAGTTACTAGCAATAAAATAGGGAAAAGGGAAATGTATATATTAAAGCCAGTTCAGAAGCATCTTTACCTAACTGAAAATGATGAAAGACCTCTACCCTAAAAAATATAATACATTGTTTGAGAGCAATTAAAAAAAGCAAATAAAAGAATCTATATTCATCAATTAAAAGACTCAGTCTTGGTTACATGTCCATCCTTCTTTTTTTTTTTTTTAAATTTTTTTTCAACGTTATTTATTTTTGGGACAGAGAGACGAGCACAACGAGGAGGGGCGGCAGAGAGGGAGACAGAGAATGAGAACAGGCTCCAGGCTCAGTTAGCATCAGCCAGAGCCTGACGGGCTCAACTCCTGACTGCTGCAGTCGTGATCTGGCTGAGTTGGATCTGGCAACCATTTCTGCCACCCCAGCTTCCCATCATGTCAATAGCCAAGTCCATAAATTCAACACAATCCAATTAAAATTCGCATATTTTTTAAAGAAAGTGATGAACTTATTCTAAAAGTATATAAAATTCAAATGATTTTGAATTAGAAAAACCACATCTTAAAATGAAACAATTTCAAACAAAGAACCATCTTTGATAAGAAGAACAAAAATTAAGAGAATTTATACTACTTGATTCTGACTTGGCTATAAAGCTCCATAATCAAGAAAGTGTGCTCTTGGTATAAGGATAACCATACAGAATGGAACTACCAGTAGAGTAAAAAAACAGACCCACACGTCTCAGTTGGTTAAGCGTCTGACTTCAGCTCAGGTCATCTCACAGTTCATGGGTTCAAGCCCCCCATGTCAGGCTTTGTGCTGGATAGTTCAGAGCCTGGATCCTGCTTTCTGATTCTGTGTACCCTCTCTCTCTCTCTCTGCCCTCTCCCGCTCATACTCTCGTCTCTCTCAAAAATAAACAAACATTTTAAAAAATTACTTAAAAAAAAAAGATCCACACTTTACATGGTCAATTGTTTTCAATAAAGTGTCAGGGAAGTAAGAGATCTCTTCACTAAATGGAGCTGGATCAAACTGAACAAAACACGAAACATCTCATCTGCATACAAAAAAGTGGATAAAGCATAGACCTAAATGTAAAGCTAAACTATAAAGTTTCAAAGAAAACTTTTAAGAGAATATTTTCATGACCTCAGGATTAGGCAAATTTTCTAGGACACAAAAAACCAACTAGCAACTTTAAACATGGATACATTCGAATTTCGCCTAAAATAAACACTTCTGTTCAAAACACCCTTAAGACTTAATATTCACAATACCAAGAAAAGTGACCATATCCAGAATACATATATTTTTTACTTACAGTATTACTCCAGCCATAAAAAAAATAAAATAAAATTCTCTAGCATTGTGATGAATTGATGGACCTACAGAGGGTATTATGCCAGGTGAAATGAGTCAGTCAGAACAAGATAAATACCACTATTATCTTCAGCTATAGTGAATATAAGAAACAAAACAAATAAACAAAGAAAACAGAAATGAGGAGCATAAGAAAGCAAACCTGGCAGCCATACAGGGTGGGGTTGAAGGGCTGGAGAATGAGAGAGAGGATGCAGAGCCAAACTCAGTTACACAAAATGAGTAAGTCATGAGAGATACTAATACAAATATAGTCAGTGTACCAGTAATAACCATGTCTGGTGGACAGAACGTAGCAGCACTATGTGTGAGGATCATTTTGTAATGATAATATTGAATCACTATGATACACTAAAACTAACAAGATATTTAGATGAATCATAGTTAACAAAAATAATAAAAATATTTTTTAAAAATAAAATAATTTACTGGCAAAAAAAAAACCCTAAAAATCAACAATAAAGGGAAAATTCTGGGTTACTGGGTGGCTCATCGATAGATCTGACTCAGTTCAGGCGTCATGATCTCCACAGTTCTGAGCTTCAAGCCCCACTCGATCATCTGTCTCCCCATCCTCTCACTCTCTGCCCCTCCCTGAAGCCTCTGTCTCTCTCTCTCTCTCTCTTCTTCTCATAAAATAAACATTTAAAAAGGAAAACAATCCATTTTTCTAATCGCGAAATTCTGAATAGATACACATTACAAGACAGACTAAGAAATGGCCAAATAAAACCTATAATAGAACTCATCATTAGTCATCAGGAATAAAGAAAACAATAAAAGTAAGGCATTTCACACCCCTAAAATAGAATTTAAAATTGACAGTATCAAATGTTTTTTGAGACATAGAAAAGTGGAACACATTGTTGGTGAAGTGGAGAAATGAAATAACCATTTTAGAGAACGGTAGGTTCAGTCTCTTAGAAAAAAGTTAAACATGACCAATAAATTCCTCTGACTAGGTATAAACCTAAAGAATGAAAACATATGTACAAAAAAAGACTTCTAAGATGTTTATAGTAGTTTTATTCATAGCATCTGCCAAACTAAAGTCACCAGTGCTATCAACATGAGAACAAACAAACAAGTTGTGTGTATATTCACATA